AAACAAAACATACGAATATCGTTTAGCTTCCATTTTTTTCAGCGGGTGTCAGTGCTGTGCTATCTGCACCACCTAGCTCACATCCCCGCGATCCATTGGACAATGCTGACTTACTGAGTGCTTCCAACGCGACCTCACAGAATGCAGCAGCAGCTTCGGCGGCAGCAGCCTCCGCTGGACAAACTGTCAACACGACCATTGAAGCAAAACCGCAACTGAAGAATCTCATTGGAGATGCTACGCGATTCGTGCCGACTGCGCTTAAAGTGCGCCGGGTTGTGCGTGACCCGAGTGGAAGGGTTGTGACTGTCGGCGGTGGTCCCGGGATGTCGGCGTCGCTCGGGGTCGGAAGTAAGTCTTCCATGTTTTTCCATTAAAACTGCGTCAATTTGTTAGCTGCGACGATTCGCTCACAATGACGAATATGGTGTTTGTTTCTTCAGTGTCTGCATCTGTGGTCGAGAATAGCGGTCTTGGGTTGTGACTGTTCGCTCTTTCCCACTTTATGAAACACTCCTGTACAACTAAATAATCCAGAAACGACGTGGTCGCATCCTGTATGTTGTGGGTGCAAAAGTACGGTAGTTGTTTAAGATCAACTGGTATTCCAATTTCACAGTTGTTTCTTTGTATGTGGTCACATATGTATTCAATAGTTTCAGTAATGAGACTGTTAGTGAAGAAGGAACTGACGTCGAGTGATATCATGCGTAATCCGTTTATGTTTGTCTTTAATCCTAACCACCAAGTCATAGGAATCCTTTAAAGCGTGCTTGGTGAGTTGTGCTCTCAAAGGTTCAAGGATTGCTACCAGCCACTTGGCCATGGCATGGTAAGGGGAGTTACACATGTTTAGGATTGGTCGAAGAGGCACTTCATTTTTATGTATCTTTGGTAATCCATAAAGCCTCGGGATCATCGTTCCAGATGGTCGGAGTTGTTCAAATGTGGCAATGTCTCCTACGTCCCTCTGTTTTAGACACTGAAGGGTTTTCGACAGTGACTTTTCTATCTGTTTTGTCTTATCTTTCTCCCCAACTATTTTCTGGTGTCGCTGAGTATGCCGTTCATTTTGTTGATATAGTCGGATCTATTTAAAAGGACTATTCTAGGGCCTTTATGTGTTCCCGAAAGAATAACATCTCGGTTTTCATTTAACTCCTTTGACACAGCCATCCCACCACCAACCACTAATGACGCAAACCAATGTGCATGTGTGTGGAACAAAGTGTGAGCAACATCCGGTCATGGAACTGGAATGTTGATTATTTCTTTTCCAACTTGTCATGATTTCTCNCCTCCCTTCTAAACAGTTTGATAGAAATTGTAATCTATTAACCTGTAGAAGAATCACCGCAAACGAGCCTGTTCGCCACTTTGTGTTTTCTTAGAACTATTTTACTGACAGATTACAAACCACTAAGTTGGGGGAGGCCTCATCGAAACCCTTAGTCAACAACTCTGAGATTCTTCAAGGAGTTGTGCTATCCCCATACTTATTTTCCACTTATATTTGTCATATTTCTTGTGCTTCCCCCGCACGAATTTTGAGATATGCAGGTGACGTCGTGTTGTGCCAACCCATTTATTCTTACTCCGATCCAAGCTCTTTCACCAACAATCTTGGTTTCGCTAGCCTTGGATAGATTTATAGGGTAAGCCCCAGAGAGCATCTGATGTGCTGGAAATACCTGGCTGTCAGTAATCACGGTCGCAACCGTAAATCAGGAATCGAAGAGAAGGTCATGAACATGACGGTTATTCCATTGGGAGTATGCTAACGGATAAAGTATTATGAACAAGGAAATGTAATTGATGTGGAATATAATAACCGATCAGAAATCGTTTTATTCCAGTCATGATTCTCATGTGTGAGCTGCAGCGGAGGCCTGTTTCATCGCTTTATCAGCGTATGCCAGTCGTAGTCCAACCCTGGTGAATCTATGGCATGCATCTAATGCTGGTGGTGCTGCGGAATTATTACATCAGGCAATGCACCCTGTGAAGAATTGCATCCCAAAAGGCATTCATTTCTCAAAGGTCCTCGGGGTTTCATGGCATAAATACTGTCCATTGAGGCATTTCCGCCAATAACCATCAGCAGGGACTCAGTCCACTTTGTGTTCTGCTAGGATGCAATACGCCGAATCTCCAATAAATGAACAAAACGGCGCGATCAGTGGTAGCTATTAGGGGAAAGGGGAGATACCAGTTCGAACCACAGAGAAATACCTTGAAGAAATCAAAAGATCGAGAAGTGTCTGGTGGGCACACTAACAAGCTGGATCAATGAGAGAGCGTATGTTTTGTAACTCAAGTCTTTGGGGCAGAAGTCCGCGTGCGTGGGACAGCTGCTAGTCAGCCAATCTACCAGCGTCACGGTAATAGTACCAGGAACTCTCGCGTGTTGTATCACTTTGATGCATAGTAGTTTTATAACTGACCTGGACCACTTTGCAATACGCAACGTTGCATAACGGAGAAGCAACCTGAAATGAGCATCGGAATCGCCCTTAATAGGGCTTCACAGGGTTCTGTGCATTACAATCCACAATGCTTAGATGGTCATTTGTCATAAACTGACTGCTATTTCTCGTGGCCATGGTCACAATTATGGGACTCATTCCCGATATTAAATGCCATTGATCACACTAATTTATATTCCCAGCAGTACTCATCTTAAGGTGAATGACAGACTACTCAAAGTTCACAAAAATAGGCAACTGAGGTACTACTGATTTAGGCAAGCACGGCATGTCTCCCGCTGAACTTGCCATGATCTGAAACTCCACGGCTGTAAATAGGTAGATCACAGAACTGAAATACCACAAACGAGATCGGTGTATAAGGTTTTAAAAGAATGGTATGAGTCTGGCATATAAGCGACGGATGGCCTCAGTGAGTAATACATTTGATTGATCAGCTAGTGGGATTAATTTCAAGTAACAAGTGTGAGACTAGAAGAGTCAAAACGCTTAGATTCCCTGTGGAACATCGGCATCGCGTTTACAGTACCGGCTGAGGAAATCAGCATTTAAAAGCCACCCAGAATCCAAAATATTCAATAGGTCGTTATTAATTATCACGTTGACCAGCCGTCCATCTACCGGTCTATGAACTAGTTTTCTGAAATCCGATAAGCACTATAAAAGTGCCCGTCTTCACGATTAGCTCGTTGTACACGGAAGAGACCATGGAATGTCTTTTTGAAGCCAAATGGCGGAATTTATCACTAAGAAACAGTCAATGTGCGGAAAATGAACTTGAATGCCAGTATCAACAAAACCATACATGCTACTGAAGTCAGGCGCACCACGTGATGCTTAAATGACTTTAAACGAAACTACTCATTACCAAAAAGGAAGTTGATATACTGACCAAATTAGAGAGCGATTGCATTATGTTTTTCAATTATTATTTATTTCCACTCATGACTGGCCACACACGTAGATAAACCATGATTTAAGATCCACATACCCATTGACCGTTATAGTTCAAAATTTCCGTTTCACATATTTACCTTTGTTGAAACCTGATGGTTAACAGAGAGAAGAACAACCAGTTATGGACTATTCGCACTAATCGCAGTCACCAAACAATCTGTTTGATATTCATATTGATACCAGATTTTGTTTTGCATATCAAAGCAAAATATGCAAACGCAATTGGAATTTTCGGTTATGCAATTGTGTCCTTCCACATAGAGATCAGCCACCGCTGGCGAGGATCCATAGAAGAATAACACTGTTACTGGTCAACACCCATGTATACGGACCATATTCTTCTACAAGTCAGATTCTCCCTACATCTGTTAGTAAACAACAGAAAAGCCATTGTAAATGGATGCTCACAATACAACGGTAGCAATGCTTGCAAATCGGTCTGCGAATCGGAAAACTGTGATCTCCTTTCGGCTCAAACATTTGCCGAAAGACTCGGTGAACACTGGACAGCAATTGAGGAAGCGAGTCAAATGGGGACCAAAATAATGACGGATTCTGACGCACAATCAAAAGGAAAGCGATGGATCTCGTCGACGTGGTCTACCCTGCTGGACGCTCGCAAAGTTATTCTTTTTGATGCCAAATAGAACCAAGGGCGCAAATCCCCTAAACACCAGCGCATCAAGTGACGGATGAACGACTGCGAAAAGTGACGAATAGAGAGAGAGAGAACTGTTGAGAGGTGGAGAAGGTTGCGACTGTCGGTAATAGTGACAATATTTTCATTGAATTAGGAGTACGAGCCGAACGAAAGTACTATTGAGATGCTTCATATTTAGCAACAAAGTCTTGAACAAGAAGAAGCATCATGATCACAGGATGTGTTGAATTCAACTATTTCGTGGTAATCTCATCAGCTGTGTACATACATTCAGATCACGTTTGGTTAAATGAGTGACAGGTTTTGGGACAGGCGAACACACGCGGGGAAGAGAAATCAATCAATACGAAGGCCAAAGGTCACTAAGAGGAGCCGGATTGGACATTGGGGTAGGGAGCGGAATCACTGCGGGGGTGGGGGGGGGGGGGGG